CTTTTGGGTTAAAACGGGAACTGAAATTAAATTTTGACGAATGCTAGGTACATAAAGCACATCATGAAGCACAATAGAAGTTCCATTAATAGAGAATTGACAGTTGTCAATGCCCAAAATATCACTATAGGAGTTATTGCCCATGTAGATTCTGTGTTCACCAATGTTCTTTTCAGTAAACTCCATGAAGATGTCTTTATTTTGCATAATATGCCTAGTTACAGCAGAATCAATCCACCATGAATTCAATGAAGGTTCAAGCACCATTGCTTCAAAAACGATCATGGCAATGGGATTATGATTTTTCTTCTTGTTCTAAAGACAAGTGGCTTTGATATGACATTTTTTACCGCAGTTGTAACATGGGCCAGTCTGATTCTTGTGATATTGTTGTTTTTTCCATCCTTGTTGATTTTTCCATCCTTTCTGGAACTTCTTCTTCCAATTTTTTCTTGAAAGAAGTTGTCTTTTTCTTGTTGAATGGTGTATGGGAATTATTCTGTGGTTGTAACGAAGATTGTGCCATCAACAAGTTAGAAGACAAAACTTCTTTAAGCCTCTGCTTCATTCGTTCTTCTTCCAAAAGCAAGAGTACAGGCAATGTTACCATTGAAATCTCTCTTCCACTAAGAGTTAAAGATGTGACAACATGATCCCAAGACAATGGAAGACTATTAAGTATGGTAGTTACTTGCATCTTGTCTGACAAAGGGTGATCAACGTTGAATAATTCTTTAGCAATTAATTCCATTTGATTAACATGATCACCAACACTATCATTATCAGTCATACGAGTGCTATTATATTTGTCCAAGAGCAATTTAATTTGAGTGTCCGATCGAACTCCATACTTACTTTCTAATACTTCCATTAATTGTTTTGCAATTTCATGTTCTTCAAAAAGCGGAATAATGTTGTCTTCCATATTATGTAACATAGTTCCCTTTGCCATTACATCATTTTCTATCCATTTATTTTGAAACCAATTAGAATCATTATCTGGTTTATAAGTGGATAAAGTGTGCAATATTCTTTCATGTGTAAGAAGATAAGAAGTGTAGCATTTCTATGCTTGGAAATTAGTTCCGTTAAGCATCTCAATTCTTGAAGAATCCGTGGCATTTTTAATAGCCATACTAAAAACAAAATGTGTTACAATAAAAAATTCAAATGTGGATATTACAAACTAAAATAAACAAATAAGCAAAATTAAATACAACGACAAGTCAACAACAAGTCTTAATAAGGATAAGCCTTGAAGTTTTTGAGTCTGCCTCTATGGTAAAAAATCGGTTGTCTTGTCTTGGGTAAGAAGGATGATGAAAACCCAATGGCCTATTAAATCCAATACTTTGCTTATGAGTATTGTAAAAATAGTTACGAGCCTAAGTGACATGACGGTGCTTATTAAAAAAAAATTCTTTGGATGTTTTACTATGTAACACCCTTGGATAGCCTCCTTGTCTAATTATTTCTTCCAAAAATTTAGTACAATTGCCCACGGAAAATTTTTTCAAAGAATTCTGGAAATTTTGACTTTTGAATGATTGAAAACGGCCTTGAAATGAGCGAGAAGAGCCAAAAAACTGTTTGAACCAGGCTGCTACCGGTTCAAGGGCTGAACTGAACCGGTTGGGAATGAACCAGCGTGACATATGGGTCAATGCACAGGTCAGATGGACGCAGGTCGCACTGGGCAGATGGGCGCGGGTCCAGGCTGGCATGCGGGTCAGCGTGTTAGGCGGACCGCATCTCTAGGCCGCGCTTGGAGCTATGGGCTGCGCCTATGAAATTTGGCCTAAGAAAATTCTTTTTAATTCTTAGGCCCAAAGCTATTGACTTCCTTGTTGTAACTCTAATTTTTGGACCTTTTCTTTTAATTTTTGAAATTGGCCTAATAGATGGACTTTTCAAAACAAAGGCTTCAACGGTATTGCTTCACAGGTTGTCTTCTTCAGTAACGGGAGTCGACGACCACACACTGAAATTTGAATTTTGTGGATCAAATTTGTGTCGTTTTTCATAACGAAGTTCACCATTGTGATCAAAATTCTGAGAAGAACAAGATGGTGCTAATTTAGAGACGCAAATTGAACCAAAAATAATTTTATAAAATTACTTCCATCGGTATAATTCGGCCTCACTTTTGGCAAGGTTCAAAACAATAGCACTACCAACTGTTATTTTCTTTGGATATTTTTTCTGGGAATACAACACGTTGGTGATGATTAAATAAGCAAACGAAATTAACCAATGCCAAAGATTGACGATCAATAACTTTCTGAATTTTTGGTCGAATTCGTTCGGAAAAATTTTGTTCTTCCAGGCTGTAATTCGTCATCTGTGTATTTGTGTAAACAAAGCTCTGATACCTCTGTAAGATAGACTAACAATGGCCAAAAGATTGGTGTTCCCGTGAGGGTATCTATCACGCAAGATGGAATTGATGATACGGAGATAAAACAATGTGTGAATATATATTGGGTTTCAATGCAAACAAATGAACCCATCATGCCAACTATTTATAAGTATCTTGACCACCATTGCCAAGAGTCACCATTTGCTTTGGCAATGGTTACAATGCTTCCAAAAAGATATGAAGCATTGTGTCCTGCTAATTTAAATTCAAACACCCCCAGATCATTCCATTCCCTTACAAGAAGGTTTGCTTGATTACCTACATCAAGAATTAATTTGGTGTGAGAGAGTCCACCATATTATTATGGTGTGAACACCTTTCATACCTTCAAACACCTAACACCCACCTCTCTCTCTCTCTTCTTTTTTTTTTGTTGAGAAAGGCGAAGATGCGACAATATCGAGACGAGGTGAGGTGAGACGACAATAAAGGGTGGTTGTATTGGTGAGGGTCGCCGGAGAGTAGAGCCAGTCGTAGGTTGATAGTTTTTAGAAAGAGAAAGATTTAGAAGTGGTGAGTTTGGTAATAACTTTTAAAGAGAGAAAAGAAGAAGAATAAGAAGAAAATGTGGTAAGTTTGGTAGTTTATGAATTTGAAGAAAAAGAGCTGGGTTTGGTAGTTTATGAAGTTTGTTGATAGATCAAATAAGTAACAAATAGATTGTTTATTCTTTATTTTTTGAAGTTTCTATGTGATAATTCATCTGGTTTTCTATTGTTTTTAATTTTCTCTTGACATGTTATTTGTGAATTGGAGCAGTGATATAATTTTCTCTGGATATATTTGTAATTTATAAATATCTCTGGATTAGATTTATAGATTGGGAAAATTAATTGTAATTTATGGAATAGTTAGCTAATAAGATTTTCTCTGTATTTTTTCGATTTGAATATGTTTTTGTTTTTGTTTTTGTGATTTTCAAAGTTAATTTAAGTTTATAAGGTTAGTTTGTAATATGTGTATGGTTTGTAAATTTCTCTGAATTATATATTGTGAATTAAGCAAGTTGTTTAGTTGTAGTTATTTTAACATAGATAAATTTTAGATGCTTTATTTGTTAAGTTTGAAAATTTATCTGTTGTGTAATTTTCTCTGGACATGTTATTTTGTGAGCTGGATAATTTTGATTTGGAAGTTCTCTATGCTTCTTATATGTTTTTATGTGATTTCTAAATTTCTTTGAATTCCACATACACACAAGAGAGTACTAAATGTGTGATAGTTAGAGAAATTTTATTTCTCTAGAGCAAGTGGCTAGTGAAATTTCACATACACATGAACAAACATAAACTCAGATAAATCCATATTTTAAGGGGATGGTAATGTGTCCAGTGAAATTCAAATATATGATAGAGTACTAAGTAAAAGCGTGATGGCCAAAGAAAATGAACATGACAGATAAATTTAACCCAGATTTTTAGTCAAAGAAAATCAACTGAATACAAATTTCTCTGGCAATCATATGAAGAGAAATTTAGCCTAGGTTTTTAGCCAAAGAAAATCAACTGAGCAATGGATAATGCTGTTATAAATTTCACTACAATGACAGAGAAATTTAGCTCAGATTTTTTGCTAGAAAAAATCAACTGAACAAGGGGTGATGCTTTTACAAATTTCTCTAAAATGACAAAGAAATTTCAGTTTTACAAATTTCTTTGGCCATCACATAGAGAAATTTAGCCCAGATTTTCTTTTCTCTGTATTTTGAAATTTCTCTGAATCAAAATTTCTCTGAAAAAATGCTGAGGGACACCAACCATTATGAAAATATTGCTTGTCCTTTATCATATAAAATCTTAATATCATAAATCTTAAAAATAAAAAAATAAAAATCTCTTTTATAGTTTGACTCAATTTTCCTTATTATTCTCTACTACTATAATTTGAACAATTTGATCATTATACTTTAAATTTAATTTTAATTTAGTCATTCCTTTTAAATTGTTATTAATTTTGCCTACGCATATATCTTAAAAAATTGACAAGTATCTTAAAATTGTCAATTTTAACCTTCAATTCGAACAGAATGACCAAATTAAAACTATACTTAAAATATAAGAAACAAATTATTCAATTTAAAGCTATAGAAAGTAAAGTAAATTTTGAATCAAATTACAGGGGTGAAAAGCATAATTAACCCTAGAAAACATTACAAACTCTAGGGATTAGTTTGGATGAAAATGGTAGAAAGTGACGAAAATGAAAAAAATAATAATAATAATTTTTTTCTATGTTTGTTTAGAATGAAAGTGGTGGAAGTTACAAGAAAGTTAAATTTTTTGTACAACTCATAATAGCATGGTAACTAAACTTGTAATTTTTTGCAAAAAACATCGAAAAATATAAAAAAAAATTAAATTTGTTATAAAAATAATAACTTATAATTTGAAATTCTTATTTTCTAGTAAAATTTGCATCCTAATCAAATTTATATAAGAAAATATACTTTCTTTTTCACTTTTACTTTACTTTTTACTATTTTAACTTTTCATAATTTGTTTATTTCTAATTAAAGGGAGCCCAGGGGAAAAAATGATGAAAAAAAATATTTAAAGGATCAAAATGTAAATAACCCAATTTTGAGTGGGGGGAAAGCAAAGCAAAGCAACCATTCATGCGGGCGTGGCAATCGCGCCATCCATATCGTTTTTCATTCCAATTAGGTGCCGAATAAATCTAACTGTGATTTTGAAAATGAAATGAAACTATATACATATACATAGGGGTGAGAGAGAGAGATGAGTGTATAGTTGGTGGCAAAGATGATGGGTGAAGATCTGGGCATCGAAGCCAAAGAGGCTGCTGTACGCGAGGTCGCAAAGCTCTTGCCTCTTCCCGAACTCTTGCAATCCATTTCATCAATCAAGGCCGACTACATTACTCGTCAACAGGTTTTTTTTTTTTAAAGCTTTTCTGGGTTCGTCATTGTTTTAATCATTCTTTGAGGGTTGAATTAGTTCTTCTGTCTGTTCAGATTTGGAATAGATCGATTTTTAGTGGTTGAATTGGATTTGATCTGGTGCAATTTTATATGTTGGGCTGAATTAATATCAATCATGATTAACATAATATATTTTATTTTGAAAAAAATTACAATCTTCAGATTTGGAATAGATCGATTTTTAGTGGTTGAATTGGATTTGATTTGGTGCAATTTTATATGTTGGGCTGAATTAATATCAATCATGATTAACATTATATATTTTATTTTGAAAAAAATTACAATCAATCCCACATTTTTTACATAATTACATTGACTGCTCTCAAAGTTTTAATTTACATAACACTTAGCTCATTTTTCATCGATAATTTGTTAGTTATATGAATAGAAAAATATGTTAGAATTTACCTACACCTACCACCACCTACTACCACACCTACTACACCTACCACCAATTTACCCTCACCTACTCCTCACATACTACCCAAACCCTCTCCTATATAATGAGCTACTCTGCTTTGTAATATAACACATCAATGTATCAGAATATCAATATCAATCAATAATACATAAATTCTTACAAAATATATTATCATTTAGTTTGTTTATTTCAATGTCTATCCACCGTTGACATCAGTTTCGGTCACTTCAATCATACTAAAAGGAAGATTAGTATAATTATTTCAGTAGTGTGGAGCTAGCTGTATTTTTTTCCAAATCTTAAGAGAGGTGAGTGTAATTAACCCATTTTCTTTTGTATGTGCTCTGTTACTTGTGGATATCTTTTGCTCAATTGACTGGGGGACATGGTCTTGGTACTAGAAATGTGAGTGTTATCAAGTATAGTAAGTGATAAAACAAAATGACAAAAAAAGATTTATGTAGTCGATCTCACCTCATTGGGACACAACTTAGTTTGGTTTGATTCTTCAAAATAGAGTAATAGGATCATTGCAACCGTTTTTACCAAAAAAATAGGCTAATACTCATCGGTAATTTAATAGTTATATGAATAGAAAAATATATTATCATTTAGTTTGTTTATTTCAATGTCTATCCACCATTGACATCAGTTTCGATCACTTCAATCGTACTAAAAGGAAGATTAGTGTAATTATTTCAGTAGTGTGAAGCTAGCTGTATTCTTTTCCAAATCTTAAGGGAGGTGAGTGTAATTTACCCATTTTCTTTTGTATGTGCTCTGTTACTTGTGGATATCTTTTGCTCAATTGACTGGGGGACATGGTCTTGGTACTAGAAATGTGAGTGTTGTCAAGTGTAGTAAGTGATAAAACAAAATGACAAAAAAAGATTTATGTAGTCGATCTCACCTCATTGGGACACAACTTAGTTTGGTTTGATTCTTCAAAATAGAGTAATAGGATCATTGCAACCGTTTTTACCAAAAAAATAGGCTAATACTAGTGATTTACATTTTGAAACAGCATACACTATAATTCCAAAATGAGGAGTACCGGCTGGTAGCCTGCCTAGCTCAGCCCACTTTTTTGAGGGGTTGAAATTGATTTTTAAACCCATAGGGTTGTGCTAGGATGAATTTTTACGCCAGTCTATTAATGGGCCAGGTTTGGGAGTATTCCTTGCTGTCCAGACCGATTATTGATATATTATATTAATTAGATGTATATATATTACATGTACATATAATGTTTGTATATGCATTATAATTTATTTAGTTTAGTTTTTGTTTACATACAAAAATGCACTTAAGATGGAAAATGCACCCATCTAAGTTTGTACTTAGGATGTTATGGCTAAATATGAAGTTTTTGTGTCAACTTGATTATAAAGTTATTAGTTTTTAATTTCATAATATTTATTTTTATTTAATAGATGCACCCATCTAGTTTTTTTTCTTTTTTCTTTTTTTTTGGTTATTTTCTAGCATAGGCCCGGCTTAAGTGAATGCCCACCCCATTGATATCGACCCAAGGTGATCCCACAAATAGGAGGAAAGAAATCAAGTATAAATGAACTAAAATATAGAGAGAATGGAGTTTTGGTTGGACAAAATTAAAAAAATAAAGGCTCATAATGCTTTTAGAAATGTGTTATTACATGATTAATTTGAAGAGTAGTAGACTATTTATAGGATATCTAATTGTTGAAATCAAATTGCTCTCATGTTTAGAAGTACCTTAAATTCTAAGAGTGTGATTTGTATAAGCCTATCCCTAAATGTAGTGTACTACGTTCTTATTCCCGTTCCTTGTATTGGGCATGGTTCACATTCTAAGTAACTTAGCTTGCTCCTACATTTGTTTTTGTACTTCATACTGGTATTTTTTATAGTAATCTCCTGGAACACCTCTCTTAGATAATGTTCCTCAGCCCAGTTTTTACATTTAGCTTATTTGCTGTTTATGAGTCTGCCGTTCGTTTTCTCAGTAAATGTCTATTCCTTATCAATTAACTACCTTTACTTGCCAAAAAAATCTCCATGCACATCATGAAGTATACGCAAGAAAAAAAAATATATTTTTGTTCTTTAGGATTTGTTATTTGTCTTAAAGTCGGTTCAAGAGTTTGTCATGATTAATTAGGCAAAATGTGATCTTGTAATATTTGAACCGGTGTGTGCTGAATCATATTATGGACATGAATGTTACATTGTAGATTTTTTGGTAACTTGGTATAATGGTCTTGGGTCATCTTGAGGTTGGACTTGATCTATTAGTTTTAACATGCTTAGAACTTGAAGGCCCTTAAATATTTGTCAAATCAAGTGTGTGTGGTTCACTTAAGGCATGTGCCCTGGGTTGTAAGTTCTGCATACAAGGCAATTGATTTATTATTTTAACATATTGAGGCTACCTTTTTTGGGGGTAAATTACACTTTGTACCCCTACACTGTACATCAAATCTCATTTGTGTCCCTCATTTTTCAATTGTAACAGTCAACCCCTTGTACTTTTGGTCTAGTTGCAATATAGTCCTTCCATTAGTTTGGTATTAAATTGTCTAATGAAAATTGTCATGTGACCATCACATGAGGTATCTTTAAGGGGGGAAAATGTAATTTTCTTCCCTTTTCTATTTCTTCTATATTTTTTTAACAATATTTTCTCTTTGTAAAATATTTTCTAAACCTACTAGGGAAGGGGTGGTTGGTGGTGGTGACTTTAGAAAATATGGTAGATTGAGAAAAAATGTGGAAAAATATAGAATAGAATAAGTAGAAAAGAGAAGAAAATCACAAATTTTCCCTCAAAGTGCCTTATGTGAGGGTCACCTGACAAATTTTGTTAGGAAATTTAACAGCAAACTAATGGAAGGACCACATTGCAACTTGACCAAAATTGGTAGGGTTGATTGTTACAATTGAAAATTAAGCGACCAAAAGTAGGATTTTATATAAAGTGCAGGGGTGCAAAGTGTAAATTACCATCTATGGCTACTTTCCACACTCCACACCTTCCCCAAACCTCTTGGTGTGGCGCTGGTATGCAAGGGGTGGGGGTGGTGACATTGTCTTAGATGTGTTATATTTACATTCTACAAGAACTTTTGGGTTGGCTACTGAATTTTGGCCATGCGCGCTCTAATGTCAGGCAAATGATGCACAACTCAGTACAATGGTTGCAGAACAGGTACTCTCAGTTCTATCTTACAATTCAGAAAAATGGTATGCATATTGTCAGTTTGTGGGCCGTGTTTTTCCTCTTGGGTTCTCCATCTCTTGGAAGGTTTATAGTGCTTATGAAGCTTTAACATGATTATACTTCCATAATCTTATGTTTTACTGAAATTATATCTGGGGCTGCAGGTTGAGCAGGCACAAGCTGGGCTAGAATCACTTTCCTTGTCTCAAAAGACAATAAACCTTATTCGTGAGAACTTCATTTCTATTGAAAAGTATGTTTTTGTCAAGGCAATCCAAGTCAATATAATAACTTTCTAGAGGATTTTATCTTTTTAACTGCTTTCTTATAATTGTTTGGCGCTCATGCAATATGACATGGTTAGCTTGATGCTCATCTGAGTGCTTGTTGTGTGGACCAGGCTGTGTCAAGAATGCCAGACATTAATTGAAAATCATGATCAGATAAAGCTCCTTAGCAATGCAAGGAATAACTTGAACACAACTTTGAAGGTAAAATTGTTTTCTTACTTTTAATATATAAGATTTCTAGTCATAATTATTGCGTACGATTATGTATGTTGGATGTGTACATGCATTTTAGGGTAGATCAATAAATTGCATGCTTAAGTGTTGCCAATGGGGGAATACCTATGAAATACGGACGCAGACACTAGACACGGTGATTTCAAAAAAATGGGGACACAAACACGTTGGGAGACATGGCAAATTATTATTATTTTTATTATTTATGTAGATTAATATTATTCTACCAAATAATCAAAATTAATAAAAACTAACATTAATTCAAAATATATATAAACCACTATATTTAAACATATTAATAGATTATCCATATTTGAACACACGTGTCCCCGTCGTGTCCCCTAGAAAAAAATAAAATAAAATAAAATAATTTAATGCCATGTCTCCACCGTGTCGCCTACAAAAAATAAATAAATAAAAAAAAAAAAAAAAAAAAAAAAAATTAATAAAATTAAGGGGATCCCGTACGTGTCCCCATGTCTGACACTGCTACGACACCTATTTTGAAGTGTCCGTGCTTCATAGGGTAATACCAATTATTCATTGACTGGTTGATGTGGTATAATCTTATGGAGGGAATGGGAGGCATTGGATTCACATGCTGTTGGTGGTTTATATTGTCAAACCTTCTCAAGTGAAAATGGCTTCCATGTGACTTCCTTTTAGCTGAGTAGTGGTGTTCTATCTTCTTGCTTTCTAGTAGGATGTGGAGGGGATGATGTCAATTTCTGTTGAAGCATCTGAGGCACAGGATTCTTTGAGTGATGATAAGGAACTCACTAACACATATGAGGTAGAGCTACTCTTATCACAATTGGTCTGGAGTTGAGAAAATCCATCATTATCACATATGGAGTAATAGTTTCTTGTTCTTTAATGTTTAATCCTGAATTTTTCATAGAGGTTAACAGCTCTTGATGGAAAGCGGAGGTTTGCATTAGCAGCTGCAGCATCTCACAAAGAAGAGGTTGGCAGACTAAGGTCAGAATATGCTCCTTTAAGTTCATTATGGTTCTCATAGTTCTTAAAGTAAATTCAATATGAGCAACAAGTTTTTATTAGTTGAGAAGCTCCCTTGATACACTATGCTAATTTTAACTATTCAGAAATAGTTTTATTAGGATCAGGAGCAAACTTGATTTTGCATTCTTGTGCCGCTGTTCTCTCAGCGGCTCATCCATTTTGTACCACCTGGTTTGGAAATAGGTATCTGGTGGTGAACAATGGCTCATTTTTATTTTGGTTAGTGTCTGTGAACCTACTCATCCATCCTTAAGTGTCAATAGGAAGTAAAAGGTGATTGCTATCTTTTTGCTACATAGCGGACCCCAAAATGTTGGATTTAAAATGTGGAATGTTTCTCAGAGAATATTTTGAGGATGTGGATCGCACTTGGGAAACATTTGAGAAGACATTGTGGGGTCATATTTCCAACTTCTTCAAACTTGCCAAAGAAAGGTAGGTATACTCATCTTTATCTGGGGAATTTTTAAATTTTGGTCTTCACTTCTTGCATCGGAAGAATGTTCATCATCTCATGCAACTGGATTTTATTAAGATGCTTTTACAAATTTTCATTTTATGGTCAAGATATCTGTTTGTCGTTTGAATACAATTTTGATTACCTGAGATTAAACTTGTCATCTGCTCATTGTGCTGACCTAGAACAGTATTTGGCTGAAGTCTTTTTCTCTTTTAACTACAGAAACGGAGGCATAAAAACTTGCACACACAAAAATGTGAATAGGTAATAATTAATGTTTCATTGAAGCATAGGCAACCTTACCTCTGCATGATATCATTGAGGAATTTGTGGTTCTGTAAGTACTTGCATCGTTAATTAGCCAACTTTGAGTCAGATAAGTGGATCAAGAAATTCTATGCAGCAACTTTGTAGCATACTCTAGGTGCTGTCATCTATGGACAATTCAGATTAATTGCCAGGTGTGTTTCCTTTACTTATTTCTGATATGGTGACTGTTGGTCAATATGTTCATTTTTTTTTTGTACGTTGGATGCTCAAGTACTCATCAGAAGGCTGGCACTAAAAAGGGATTCTTATCAGCATCTTGGTCATTATTCATTAACGTTTCATAAGTGTTTTTAGATGCAAAATCTGAGATGAGTCTGTTCCAAGCCGCACGTGATGTAAGACAAGTGTGGGGTACACTCTTTGCTAAGTAGTGAGCCCAAAGTTAATAAGCTGCAGCAACAAACAGATCTAGTTCTAGGGCTGATTTTAATTGGTTTATGGAGGCTAGAAAGTTGGTAAAATATGGGGATGCAATGGTTTCAAAAGGTGTAACGAAGGGGTGGATTTAAGAGTTTATTGATGGATGAAGAGAATTTTGGGACTGTTCTGGGGCTGTGAATAACACCCTTGAACATTAACTAGGATAGTATGTGTTCTTTTAGGTATTAGGGTTGAGTGGTCATAACGGGCAAGAGATTGAAGTTGTGAAATAGAATTTGTCGGGTTAGGAAATTGCTTAAAATAGATCTGGTTCTAGAGTTGTGTATGTTTAAAAAAGTGAAGAAAAGTAAAGAAGAGAAGAAGGAAAAAATTCAAGGCATTGAACCTAGATCCCACATGCATCACTCTATCCCAATGGATCCTTAAAATGCTTCACAAATTCTCTAAAGCATGTTCTCTCTCTTTAATTGGAAGCATTGCATAGCTTTAGATATCCTTTTAAGAACTCCCATTTCTAATAGAGTTCTAACTTTCAAAACCTGTCTAAAACCAGATAACACCTTTATGAAAGCCCAAAAACATAGCTCAATCCATATGAACACTCATGGGCAATCCCTACAATCCCTATCTTGAGAATTTTAAAATCACCAAAATACCCTTGACATGTGAAACATAAAAACCAAATTAATTCTCTACTAAAGCTAAAACCATAATTCCAGCCTTAAAATCATGCCAGTTTTCAAAGTTGTGTTCTCCTTGATTTTACTTTTTCTTGTTCTTCTTTTGGACTACATAAGCACACTAGTGTACATGTAATGTGTCTCTAGGAAAATTTTTTTTGATTTTAAGTAAACTAATATGATAAATGTTAAAATCTACTAATCTCAATCTTTCTAATTTTATTTATTGTGCTACGTCTTTCTTAATATGGTTCAATTAATAGTTTTCTGGCACATTTTGGTGTTCGAAACTTAGGAAATTTCGTTAAAATCAATAGAACCAATTCTAACATTGTCTTGGCAATGTGTGTGACTGTAAACAAAGGGGACTATTCACTTTGGTGTACATTATGCTTTTAAACTAATATAGCTTTCCTGCTCATTCTGCATTTCAACTGCCAAAGTTTAAGCATGCAGACACTTTTCCATATATGAAAGTAATATAAATGTTAAGGAAAAAGTTTGGCAAGACAGAGCACAAAGAAAAAGCTTAAAAAGACAATGCAAGATAAAAATTTAACAAGGCAATGGTAGTGGTACATTGAAAAGTGTCTCAATAATTTGTTTTCCTTTTTGGGTTGCTGAGTGTTTCAGCGAAGCAGCGATTTCCGACTGGTACTTTCAGAGAAGGATTGGTTACAGAGTGTTTACAGAGTATTTCAGAATGCAAATGTTCGGCGGTTTCAGACTGGTTTGCACAGCCTCTGCCTCAACCTTGGTTAAATAGCCAAGGTAGACACGCGCATCATGCGTCGCTCGGCGCTCGACGACAACATGGGCGCGCCTTTTGATGGCATGTCTTTTTATGGATTGGGCACGCCTTTTGAAAGATTGGGCACACCTTTTGAGGGTGCGACTTTTTAGGGGTCCAACAAGACTTTGTAAACTGTCCCGACATTGATTCCGGTTAGCTCCTTCATGGGTCCGACAAGACTCTGTAAACTGTCCCGACATTGATTCCGGTTAGTTTCTACAAGGGTCCAGCAAGACTCCATAAACTGTCACAACATTGTCTGCTACAACGGTCCGACATGACCCCATAAACTGTCTTCTACATCGGTCCAACACGAGCTAGTGTCTTCTATATCGGTCTGCCATAACCATACAGTCTTCTACAACGGTCTGACACGACCATACAGTGTCTCCTATCCATTTTTTATTTTTCAGATTATTTTCTTGTTTTGTTACTCTCTCCAAACTCAAGTTGGTTAGTTCCTATCCCCCTTGAGTTTGCGGGGGGCTGTTAAAACCTACCATCACCTACTCTACCTGCTACACCTACCACCACCTCCTACCACCTACTCCACTACATCTCCTATATAAGGAGCCCCTCACCATTTGTAATATATAACATACAACAATCAATAATACATACAATTTATTCTCTCTCTATCAATTTATTTTACAAAGCCGCACGTGATGTAAGACAAGTGTGGGGTACACTCTTTGCTAAGTAGTGAGCCCAAAGTTAATAAGCTGCAGCAACAAACAGATCTAGTTCTAGGGCTGATTTTAATTGGTTTATGGAGGCTAGAAAGTTGGTAAAATATGGGGATGCAATGGTTTCAAAAGGTGTAACGAAGGGGTGGATTTAAGAGTTTATTGATGGATGAAGAGAATTTTGGGACTGTTCTGGGGCTGTGAATAACACCCTTGAACATTAACTAGGATAGTATGTGTTCTTTTAGGTATTAGGGTTGAGTGGTCATAACGGGCAAGAGATTGAAGTTGTGAAATAGAATTTGTAGGGTTAGGAAATTGCTTAAAATAGATCTGGTTCTAGAGTTGTATATGTTTAAAAAAGTGAAGAAAAGTAAAGAAGAGAAGAAGGAAAAAATTCAAGGCATTGAACCTAGATCCCACATGCATCACTCTATCCCAATGGATCCTTAAAATGCTTCACAAATTCTCTAAAGCATGTTCTCTCTCTTTAATTGGAAGCATTGCATAGCTTTAGATATCCTTTTAAGAACTCCCATTTCTAATAGAGTTCTAACTTTCAAAACCTGTCTAAAACCAGATAACACCTTTATGAAAGCCCAAAAACATAGCTCAATCCATATGAACACTCATGGGCAATCCCTACAATCCCTATCTTGAGAATTTTAAAATCACCAAAATACCCTTGACATGTGAAACATAAAAACCAAATTAATTCTCTACTAAAGCTAAAACCATAATTCCAGCCTTAAAATCATGCCAGTTTTCAAAGTTGTGTTCTCCTTGATTTTACTTTTTCTTGTTCTTCTTTTGGACTACATAAGCACACTAGTGTACATGTAATGTGTCTCTAGGAAAAAAATTTGTGATTTTAAGTAAACTAATATGATAAATGTTAAAATCTACTAATCTCAATCTTTCTAATTTTATTTATTGTGCTACGTCTTTCTTAATATGGTTCAATTAATAGTTTTCTGGCACATTTTGGTGTTCGAAACTTAGGAAATTTCGTTAAAATCAATAGAACCAATTCTAACATTGTCTTGGCAATGTGTGTGACTGTAAACAAAGGGGACTATTCACTTTGGTGTACATTATGCTTTTAAACTAATATAGCTTTCCTGCTCATTCTGCATTTCAACTGCCAAAGTTTAAGCATGCAGACACTTTTCCATATATGAAAGTAATATAAATGTTAAGGAAAAAGTTTGGCAAGACAGAGCACAAAGAAAAAGCTTAAAAAGACAATGCAAGATAAAAATTTAACAAGGCAATGGTAGTGGTACATTGAAAAGTGTCTCAATAATTTGTTTTCCTTACATTTGTATTATTCTTACCAAAATTATTACTTATAAATGAAGAAAATGTTAAAAGGAAAAGTATATATTTTGTGTCTGGGAGGGAGGCTGAGGAAGCGCTGATGCTTCATCTGTGGAACATCTTCAATTGGAAAAGTGTTAAAACCTACTATCACCTACTCCACCTACTACACCTACCACCACCTACTACCACCTACTACACACCTACCACTACCACCTACTACCACCTACTCCACTACATCTCCTATATAAGGAGTCCCTCACCATTTGTAATTTATAACATACATTAATCAATAATACATCAATTTTTTACATGGTATCAGAGCAGGTTTAGAACCTAGTATTTTCGCTTCCCCGGCGGGCGGCAACCTCACCTTAGCCGCCCGCCGGACCTCAACCTAGTCCGCTAGAATTTGCTACACATACCTTCACTCTAGATACTTGTTCCTTCCTTCAGCCTTGGAGTCCAGAATGTCGGGGAGAAAAGCAACAAAACAAATGGCAACAAAACAAACCCACGGTCTCTCTCTCTGAAAACCATCTTCTCAGTCTGCTCTGGATTGACCAGCTCGTGAAGACAATATGATGCCAACAATCAGACCATACAGGGCCAAGGCTTCAGCAAAGATGAGAATGAGGATCATTCCAACAAAAAGTTTTGGCTGCTGTGCATTAGCTCTAACACCACCTCGCCGAAGCAAACCCAAAATCCCTGTGGGACATTTCGTCGAACACCATGTCTGCAACAATCTGGGCTGGTTACAACTCATCCTTGCTCACAGATTCTTCCCCCATAAGTTCGTCAAGGGAGAATTCATCTTCCTCAAATATTTCTCCATCCTTACCATCCCATGGTTTGGTCTTCACAATGCTTTTCAAGATCTGGCTGCTTACCAGCAGCTACCCAAACATAGCTGTAAGGACTCCTTTTGAACTTCTCTGCAAGTTTTTCATAATTTCCTCCCTCTAAAGAACAGGACTCCAGGAAAGCAACTTTACTGGCACCAAAATTATGCCCACAAGTTTCTGTAAACTCAGAAATCAACATACTTTCCATCACCTCTTCATTCTCTGAAGCAGCAATATAGGGGAATGCCAAAGAAAAATTGGCCCTTGTAAAAGAGACCTTGAGAAAGTCCACAAGTTCTGAGTCTGCATGTTTGGCTCCAAAAATATCCGACGATTGTAACTCTCTCCCAACAAAAAGAAGTGCAAGATCCAGAGGCTGTTGAGCTTCATTCCCCGAACACAGTAAGCTAGAACAGCCCCCTTTCAGACATCACAGAATTGGCTAACTCCTTTGAAGAGAGAGTTTGATAATTTACAGCTTCCTTCACTCTGATGTTTAACAATCCATCTTGGTGAGGCGACCAGAGAAACGCAGGTACCGTGGATGGGAGGGTCAGCCCCGACGGTAGCTGTGCCACGACAAGCAAGATTGTCACCACTCCCACTGCAAGATTTCTCATCATACTCCTACGCTGGACTGAAGATCCTGAATCAGAGCTTCGAGTATAAAAACTAATCCAAGGCCTTTGAAAATTGATACTTGTGGGGAAGAAAAAGGTCAAACAGAGAGGGGTACCTGTTCTGGATCTGGATCTGGCCAGATCAAACTCAAGGAGGGCAATCTCTCTCTCTCTCTCCATGGACCCAACATCATCATCATGCACCCACTCAATCTCCCTCTCTCTGGGTCTCGGTTGGAGGAGGAAAACATGGGGGACACCGATTGGTGCTCTTGATACACTCTTGTTCCCCACTTTCTTTATTTTATATATATATATATATATATATCTCTTTTTATTATATTATATTAAAAATAAAAAAAAATAAAAAAAATCATCTCTCCTCCGTTTGATTTCAAACTCCATTATTTTTATTTATTTTCTCCAAATCACTTTCCTTATTTCCCCCATTTTTCATTTTTGATTTCAAATATATTTTTATTATTTCTTTCTTTATTTTTCTTTCACATTATTTTTAATCTTTTTCCAATTCCATTCATACCATATAGCTTTGCACACCTTTTGAGGGTGCGACTTTTTTAGGGTCCGACAAAACTCTGTAAACTGTCCCAACATTGATTCCGGTTAGCTCCTTCATGGGTCCGACAAGACTCTGTAAACTGTCCCGACATTGATTCCGGTTAGTTTCTACAAGAGTCCAGCAAGACTCCGTAAACTGTCACAACATTGTCTGCTACAACGGTCCGACATGACCCCATAAACTGTCTTCTACATCGGTCTGCCATAACCATACAGTCTTCTACAACGGTCTGACACGACCATACAGTGTTTCCTATCCATTTTTTATTTTTCAGATTATTTTCTTGTTTTGTTACTCTCTCCAAACTCAAGTTGGTTAGTTCCTATCCCCCTTGAGTTTGCGGGGGGCTGTTAAAACCTACCATCACCTACTCCACCTACTACACCTACCACCACCTACTACCACCTACTCCACTACATCTCCTATATAAGGAGCCCCTCACCATTTGTAATTTATAACATACATCAATCAATAATACATCAATTTTTTACAAAAAGTATGTTGGAATTGAGAATGTAGAGTTGCAGTTGGGGCATAGGAGGTAGTCGACACAATTGGGACTTGAAACAAATGGTCAATATGTAGTATTAAAAGGCATTTTTTTGTTCCTCATAATAGAATGCAACAGCCACTTTAATGGTAGTTTACTTTTTGCTAGTTAATGCACTGGTGTAACTTTACATAATTTATTGCAAAATAATTATGCTACATGGTCTGTCAACATCAATTGTTAACTATATCCTGCACCCGTAACCTCCTTACTAATCTCCTTTATGTCCCTCACGATGCTCATGTGTGCTAATTTCTCATTATATGCCTTATTTTGCAGCCCACAAACTCTGGTTCGTGCTTTGAGGTACGTTTGAATCAAATGAACTGTTTAATTTACTGTGCAATGTGGAGTAGTTTTGATTCTATTGTATAAGGGATACTATGCTTACATAGAATTGTGGACTGAAATATCCCAAGGAAAATGATTCATGAACAGAATTTTTTATATAAAAAACCCATCAAGAATGATGTGGCATTGGTCTTTTTGAAATTTTGAACTACAATGGTGGGTGTTTTGATTTGAAATGAAAGAACCAAAAAAAAGCCACATCATTCTATATGAACGTTTTGTACAAATATTCTGTTTGCGGAGAATTACTCATATCTTAATTCCAAAATTATTGCATAAGAGGATGACTTAATCAGGCACACCTCATATGATATGGTTTTGCACTATACATAGAATATGTTCTATCTTACTTTTCTTCGGGAACTTACAAGATATGGGTTCCATTCTTCCAAACTTGAATGTATTATGCAATATTCTGCTGTATATTGTAATTGATTCTGTGCTTAATTTTAGTCCACTCTTACCTGATTATTTAAATTTTCTTTCTCCTGTTTTTTCCATTAGGGTTGTTGAAATGCAAGAAGTCTTTGATCAGCAACTTGCAGAGGAAGCAGCTGAGGCTGAGGGAGCTGGAGCAATGGCAACAGTTGCAAATCCTCGTAGAAATGCCAAGTATCTGCCTTGATCGCTTTTGTGCATTGGTTCTCTACTTGATAATGTCTTGTCTTCCCATTAAATATCTTCATTTTTTTATTCTGGAAACTATTCCAGATGTATCTTCAAAATGTTTTGTGCTTTTTTTTTACTCAAAGAGGTTTCATTTTGTCATGTTGGTGCTCGTTCCCTTCTGGCCTGCAGAAAATCTACCACTGCAATGGTATCTTCTAGGAACCTTATACAGCAGAAAGTGAAATCCCAAGGAAAAGGGTACAAGGATAAATGCTATGAGCAAATAAGCAAGACTGTTGAAGTCCGTTTTAACAAACTGCTGTCAGAGGTACATCTTACAGAATTTCTTTATTATGCAACAAGGGAATAGAAATGTTCTGAATTATATTTTTGATTATTCTCGTTCTAACAGTAATTTGTGCATCAGCTTGTATTTGAGGACCTAAAAGCAGCTTTAGAGGAAGCTCGAACGGTATGCACATCTTTGTTTTTTTATTTTTCGTTTGTTCTAATAGCTGAGGGGTTGCCTTCAAAGAAACGTATTTTTTCTACCTATATGATCAAAGAAGAATCAGACAAAGTAACAGAAAGCTTCAGAAAGCATGCATTTGGATTTTAATGATTCACTTGGATATTGGAATGTAATGTTTCCTTAAAGGGAGAAAAGAGAAAATTGTGCAAAATTGTGAAATGTTAATAGCCGTATGGATATCTAGGATATTGGCTTTCCTTGCATATAGTTTTGATTTGAATATATGGTTTGACTTTAGTAAATATATAATCTAAACCAGTATTAAGGTTGAAAATGATTTAAAAGCAAGCCCCATTAAAGTTTGAGATCCTGTCAGTATGACACAAGTTAGTATCTTTTTAAAGCAATATTTGCTTGATATTGTTTCTTCTGTGAAGGTTAAATCCTGAGATTTCTTGTCAGGGCAGATTACACGAACCTTCCCTGGATATTACCAAAATTGCAGCTGGTCCTACTAGTATGGACAGATTAAACGCACCTCCCCTAATGGGCCTCAAAAGTTAACTCGGTTAACAGAATACGTAAAAAGACAAAAATACCCTCAATTGTAAAATAGACAAAACAAAAATCTAACTTCTCTGTTGCCCCCTCTTTTCCCCACAACCAATCACCACTCCCTTCCACTCCTCCACCATCACTGTACAACCACCATTTCCTTCTCCTTCTCCCCGCTTTGCATAGTGAGCCTTTATTCCCACCGCACAACCATCTTGTCTCTACCACTATGTCTTTGCCCAACTGAACGGACACTATGTTGTCGCCACCATTGTCTCTGCCCACCACCACTGCCCTCAACACACAACCACCCTACCACCACTCTTATCTCCCCTCACCCTACCATCACAATCATAAAACAATAAATCAAAACAAAAAACAAATAAATCAAACCCCATAAAAAACTAAGAAATCAAACTCAAACCCTAACTCTAACTCTCCCCCACCACACGCGCGCACACAAAAAATATGGATTTGGATCTAGAGAGGTTCACTGGGGATCACAGTTGGAGAAGTTCACAGGGAGGATAGTTGCTGGAAATTGTGTTCATGCATATAATATGATAGTGGTGTTGGTGGTAGATAGTGGCATGTATAGAATATGATAGTGGTGTTGGTGGTAGATAGTGGTATGTATAGAATATGATAGTGGTGTTGGTTGTAGATAGTGGCATGTATAGAATATGATAGTGGTGTTAGTTGTAGATAGTGGCATGTATAGAATATGATAGTGGTGTTGGTGGTAGATAGT